AGAAAGGTGTTTCCTATTTACAATTTACGCGAATGTACTTAAATAAATGTTTATATTACTTAGCATTAAAAAAAGGCATTTAAAGTCTAAATAAAACTTTTTGATATGCACCTTAAAGAAGTATGATTTTTATGAATTAAGAAAAACTTTAAAAGAACTTCTTCAGAAGGCGTCCTACAAAAGCCCTTCTGAAAGCTCTTTTTTGAGTATCGAAAGCAGAAGCCCTTCAATTTGTGCCACCCCATACAAAAAATGGAGGAGAAAGGAAAGAAAGGCCTTTTTGATAAGAGTTTAGCTCCTGAAATTACCTTCTGGGTAGTACTTATTAGGGATGCCAATCCCGGGAGCCCGGGATCCCGGTGTTTTTGACGTCCCGGAAATCCCGGGATGTGCTTGCATTAATCCCGGGATCCCGAAAATTTTGAAATATCGAATTGATAGTAAGAATTTGTTTATGAATTTTGAAGTATGATTTTTGTAAAATGCCAGTTTGACTGCAGTTAACAAAAAGCTTGAAACTGTACTTTTGAATTGCAGTCTGAGCCTTTTTTGAAGAAGATTTCAATGAATTTACTCATAGCGTCGCTAATGTAAACGAAACAGAGAGTTTTAAGGAAAAGTTAGATAATTTTTTAGATCAATCTACTCAAAACTTCCTCAAATCGAAAAACTTATAATTTGACCGACGTGCTGGTAAAAGAAGTTAAAATATTTTGTAATGGAGGAGATAGGGGTAATTATCTTCAAATGGACGAACCAAATATTCGCTTTGATTTTTCGAAAGCCAACTTTAAAAAACTGAATAAAGAATTGTCTAAATTGTCGTGGCCTATATACAAAGAAAAAGTTGAGCAAAGCGTTGCACATTTTAATTGTACTGTACATAGATTATTTGAAAAGTATGTGCCTCAACGCATGTGTGTTCCTGAAGAACAAACGCAGTTATGGTTTACTAAAAATCTGAGAAACTTGAAAAACAGAAAGTCACGTTATTTTAGATTACACAAAAAA